AAATCAGCTCTACAGAAGACAATAGTGTCATTACTCAGCTTGATTCAGTTCAAACAATCCGATAGTGTCACCGCAGTTCAATAATGTTGCAGAATATTATTAAGTGTCTTTTAAAACAGAAAGAGCATAAGCGCTATAAAATGAATGTGGATAGAGGCTCAGGTCATTTGATAAGGATACATGTGGTATCTTGTATGTGGTAAATCAGAGGACAGTTTAAGATATAGGGACATATGGATGTAAATTAGAAATGCTGCTAATATAATATATCAAATTAAATTATTAATAACTACAAACCACCACTGGTTCCAAAGTAGCAATCCCCAACATTAATTTAGACTAAATTGCCATTACTACAAAAAAAAAAAATAATAATAATATTATATATATATAAATAATAATATTATATATATATATTATTTATACACTTAATATTCTGTAATATTATTGACCTGCAGTGACACTATCAGATTATTTGAACTGAATCGAGCTGAATAATGACACAGTTGTCTTCTGTAGAGCTGCTTGCAGCTGAAATTGAACTTGATGCTGTAAATGAAACATAACAGATGTAAGTGAAACATGGAACTGCTTTACATCTTCTGATCTTTGGAAGAGCAAAAGGTTGTGTGCCAACCACTCACATTTCAGACAATGGCTTTTAATGTGGACATCAACAAGCCTGACCTGTAAGCGCTACAGTATTCATCTGCGGTGTTCATTTCATTAAGAATAATGTAATTCTCTGTTGGGATGGAGTGTAAATTTGCCCATCTCCTTCAAGCTGGAGCGTCTTCTGTCACGCTATCACACTGATATTACCCCAGCAGAGAGCTGACATTTAGAACAGGTGCTCAGCTGCGCTCCACAATTAACCTGCTCTCTGTTTCTGTCTGTCTCGCAGCGTGCCAGTGTGCCCATGTGGGAAATAACTGTGACGCTAACACAGGTCAGTGTATCTGTCCGCCCAACACCGTGGGAGAGAGATGTGACAAATGTGCGCCCAACCACTGGGGTCACGACATCAGCAGCGGCTGTAAGGTACGGCTCACACCGTCACGGCTTCACTCTGTCTGCTCTGGCTGTGTATATTTATCTTCTGCCGAAACATCATTATTATTCACCCTCTGTAAAGTCTTGTCGAGGTGAATCTTTGAATTAATGTCACAGAGAATAGAGCTGGTGGGTGGGGGTACATTATGATACACCTGTTCTGATATCATAATGAAGAAAAGTAGTAGTAGTTTTGCATAATATTTTACTCTCTTCCTGGTTCCAATCTGGATCCTCGCAGCAGCATTTTGAACTGAACTGACAAACTCCCATATATAATGGTTCATAGTAATCAGCCCTGAGCTGGAAACTATATATGTGACTATATATGTTTTGTTTGTTTGTGTATCAAACTTTGAAGCTGAGTCAATGATGATGCTTGTGTGTGCAAATTTAAGGGCAAGATGTGGTTGGCAGAAACTGTGCTACAAATATACAGGTGGTGAGACAGAAAGCCACAGAGTTAACCAGAAGTTTGCCTATCCATAAAACATAGTGAATATTCATGTATAGATGGTGCACAGTGTCATGTAAACAAATAACAAAAAAGTAACACAAAACACCCTAATTTACACTCTAAGAAAAGTCTGTACTGTAATATGAAGGGATTTTCTATATTGGTTTCTCAGGTGTTTTCCTTATGTTTTGAATTATACATTGCATTGTGTTGTGTTTTAGGATAATGTCCATTTAAAGGAAATGTCGTTATGGGACATTATCAGATTAAAATACCAGTTTAAACTTCAGAGATTTAACTTAACTTCAGTGCCTTATGGGGTGGTGACGTAAAACACTGGCTCAATTTACCCCACAGCATTTGGCTCACTTTGCCCCATAGCTGCCATTTTGGAAAAAACTACCTAACTTACCAATTTAGGCTAATATTTAGCTAAATGATTTGCATGGTTTTATATGTTGCTAAATCACCTAGATGCATCATAAATATGTTTAGACCTGGTTAAATTTGCTTTGATGTAACAGACATTACATCTGTTATTCTAAAATGTTACTTTGACAAGCCAAAAACAGTTTTTAAAGTAAATGGGTGCCTTCCACTCCTCCCTTGTGTTTCGCCTTTTCATAGTCTGGCAGAAATGATGGGTGGTTCCAAATGCATGATCACATGACAGTAAAAGTGTACAGTTGCCAAGATATAGGGGGTGGGTCAACTTACTCACTGGCTCAACTTACCCCTCTCTCCCTAAACATAATATATTTTTTATTTCCATTTTTCTACGGTGTACATTACTGATAACAAAAATAATAAGAAACAAAACTATTTAAATAAAATATAATAATAATTGATGATTTCTGCAAGGACTTCTGGGAATGTCCTTTTCCTGTAATTTTTTTTTTTTCATTGTAAATTATGCAGTAGTTCATAGTTTTCACTTGCAAAAAAAAACATACATTTCACAGTATTTTAAAGTAAAGCTACATATAATGCAATGATAAATAATTTTTCACCATATATGGTAAGGTAACTTACAGTACAGTTAATCAGTTAATAGGTTTTTACTGTTGCATGCATCAGTAAATTGGATGAACTACATTTGTCTGGTATCATATAATGAACTGACTACTTAGGTGCTGATTACCAATACATTTGTTTTTCAAGTCTCAGATCACCCCTCTCTTTCCTATGATATCTGCAAATGTGACTTTTCGGTGACAGTGTAATTGAATGTGATTCATAAGCATTGCATTTTATGCAGTGGCACATACAACACACAGGTTAACATCTCCTTACCTAAAGCAATTTCTGGTAAAACTTACCAAAAGGTTGGTAGCCATATAAACTTTAATGTCTCTGTGGTAAACAGAGTTTGTAAGGCATAACAACAGTATGAGA